ATTGTGAAGTCAGAGAAAGGAAAAGCAATAAAAATTTCATATTCAGATGCTCGTTCATTAATTAAATTTTTCTGGAGTTTCATATTGTAACAACAAGGAATGTGTTTTCATTTTGTGCCTACAACTGCCATCCTTTTATAATTTTCCCAGCTTAAATTAAGGGGATAACAAAAAAATTAACTAGAAATACAAATTAACTATTATTTATGATAACTTTTTACGTAACAGAACCCATTTAGCGAATTTTTGGATAAGGGGTACGTTTTAACTGTATAACTTTTAAAATAAAAAACTAACTATATTTATGTTTAATATAAGTAACTTTAAACCGTAATACTTTTTATTGGGCTAAAGTTTTTTTTTAATGCGATTATAAAGTACTTTTAAATAAGGACAAAAAAATGCATTAAGAAAATAAATGGTAACCCCTTGACCAAAATTTGTGTTTTTCTGGGGGACAAGGGGAATGAAGCCCGGATTTTTTTAAAATTCCCAAAATTAATTTCCCTAACGGTCAAAAAAGTCCTAATTTTTCATAAGGGGAAATTCAATATAAAATGAACAAAAGAAAATGGGTTCGCAAAGCTCAGGGGGTTAACCAGACTGTATCCGAGGTTCCGGGTTCGACCCGGGAAAACATTTTGAATTTTCAAAATTTTAAAGGGTTTTCCCACCTAACAATTTTACGAAGAACCCAGGAACCCGCTGACGTGCTAAACACTGGCAGTAAAAAAAAAGGAAATCTTTCAAAAAAGAGTAGGACATTTCCCCGGATTTTTTTATTTATGCTTCTTGAGTCTTGGGAAGCCCCTACGGAAATAAGTCTTCCCTTTCGTAGTTATCCTTGCCGCCGCCAAAAAAAAAATCAAAAAATAATGAAAACCCAAACGGAAAATTAAAAATTTTGCAGCTCGTTTGTTTGGCCCTGTTCAGGGAGTAACGTAAAACAATGTCCCCCCCCCCTAGCACCGGCTTAAGAAAATTAAAACTTTAAAAACATTAAACTTTTAAATTTAATTTAAACATCCGAAAAAATTTTCCCCGCTTTATAAACTGGGTAAGGAAGCAAAAGGGAAAAGGGGGTCGGGGGGCCCCTTTGATTGCCACTGAAATGGGAGAAAAAGACCCAAAAGAAAGCCAACAGGGAAAAATTGAAAAGTGAGGCGTTTAATTGACCTGTTCTTTTAAATTTGAGTGTTGGGCTTTTTAAGGTTTTTACTTTTTTTTAAATGTTAAAAAACCAGTCAGTACAAGATAGTACACTTTTAAATTTTGGATTGATCTATAATTAAAAAAATTTAAAAGGAACAGAAAAAAAATCACCGGCCCATGAAAAACATCAAAAAGAAAACTAAAAAATTCCTTTTTTTTTCCCCCCATTGTTTTCTTTTTTAGGGCACATTTTCTATCTTTTTTGGCCCAAACCACGATTTTATAAGGGGAAAGTGCCATTGGGTTCGTGAAACGGGGGAAAAATTTGTGGTTTTTCCCAAATTTCCAAAATGTTACCTTTTCACTAACGGGGCGGGGCGGGGGGGGTTTTTTTCACCTGACATCCCGGAAAACAGGTTTAACCCCAAATAAGCTGAAAATTTTTCTTTTGTTTTTGGCCTTTGGGGATTTTATTTTCTCATTTAAAGAATTGAGTTTTTAATTAAAAAATATTTAAATCTACGTAAAACTTTTATCTATTTTCTAAATTTATTTTAAACCCTTTTTTGTGAGACTAGTTTGGAACGACAAAAGGTCATTGAATATTCAAATGTCTTGGGTCAATATTGCCAAATTTTTGTTTACATAACAAGATTAATAACATTGCAAGCAAATAGTAACTTTAAAAAAGATGCTCGGTCGAACTGAACTGATTTATTTGCATAACATGGAAATGAAATTATAAGGAGGATAATATTTAGCTTGTTATTGAATTTTACGCTTTCATATGCAAAGGTTGGGCAGTTGAAGTGAAAAAAATCACATACGAAAAATATGAAGTATTTCAAATAGAAACAAAATATTAATTCTGAAGTAAATTTCTTTAAAAGTAAAAAGGAAGAAAAAAAATTTTTTTTAGAAAAAAGAAAGCAAGCGTCAAGGGGTGGGAATAATAATTTTTGTAATGCTTATATTAGAATATATGAATTTATCCACACTTAATATGGGTCTTGATAAGTGACAAATATTTTGAGTTTAAAATAGATCCTTTCAGAAATAAAGAAGTTCCAGTAAAAAGTTACATTTGACTGTAGAGTATGGCGCAGATTTATCAGTGCTCTTTCGTTACCGAATATAAACCCGTGATAAGAACTACAAACAAAACAATTTCAATTTATATTTTCAATTTATACTTTGACATACATTTGTAATAAACAAACCATTCAATCGTTAGCGGCGAGGGTAACTGTTTACGGTAGTAACGAGACTCTGTTGAGTTTCCGCTAAACAGTTACCCGAGAGCAAGATATTCCCGTCCGTACCGAAAGCCGGTGTTTGATTCTTTTTCTTGCTTATTACATATCAATTATTTTCAGAACATAAATTACGAAAACTGATTTTCTCATTACGCATTTTTTTCTTAGAGTAGCACATGAACTTACAACTTTATACATAACGGTAAAATTACGTCATCCTAAAAGACGTGCGACAATGACGTCATTTTAAAGCACGCGACTTGTCTTACATGGGTTGTAAGACAGGTTTTTCTAGCACCGGTGTAAACGGTAGATAATCCTGCCTGATATTCAAGAAATAACTAATAAGACCGGATAAGTTCGTTTTGTTTTTTGTGGGTTTTTTATGCGCGGTAGTAAATGGGACCGTGAACGTAATTGTAAATGGTGGTTTCGTAAACTTAGACAAACAATCCGATATATCTTTTAAATGGCAAACAGATTAAGTTTAGTGTGTAGAAGAATTGCTCCCATTTATTTACATTTACTTAGTCACAATGATCCAAGGTAGTTATCTAAATACGTCATTTTTTAACGAATATCTTTAGGATTTATTTTTTTCCAAGCACACATTTTTTTGTATACGCTATATTTACTTCTCTTTTCATTCTCATTTGTTGCCATGAGGTCGGTTATATATTTTCTCTTACTCTGCTAAAGTCATACAATGAACTTGTCCTTCTCCGAAATAAGAACTTTTATTGTTTATCTCGATCAAACTCATAAAATGAACTGACATCAGTATAGAACAGAGTGAAAAACATACAACACGCCAAATTTGTTAATGTTTCAGTGAGTGTTGTCAGTCGTCGTGGGTGTACAAACATTGCAAGCCTCTTTTTTGATATTATTTGTGTCATTTGAAATAAAAATGTTTCTGTGACATTTTAATGGTATTTCGTCTGTTTTGCTTAAATACAATATGGTATCCACTTCAAAAGTAATTGTTGATTTTCACATAATTAGTGCTACTAAGAAATACCGCTTATATACACTTTGAACAGATCTTTGATATATATTTTGCGGAATTTATTTAGTTTTAAATTAAGTAGGGGAGATAACTGCTTATGTTTCCCTCAAATGGTTTCTCTTATGATTATTCACCTTCACAATAGGAAAAAACAATAGAATCATGTTAACTACATGTCAATACATTTAAATATGCACCCAAAATCCATGTTAAAGGCGGGTAAATGGGAATGAGCTTGACTGTCCGTCTGTCGGATTTTTTCCAGATGACAGCTAGAGTTTTCAATGAGAAAAAAAGTTAAAAAAATAAGCATATAGCAAGCTCATTTGGAGGCCTCACATAGGACCGCCGCTTTAGGACCACTTTGAGTAAAGATCAATGTTACTGTTACTAAAAATAGAAGAAAAAAGTTTCAGGGAGATAAGACCAGTTTTGAGTGCGATATTGCAATCAAACATGATATCTAACACCTCACTTGGAATTGCTTCTTGGACCCCATCCCCTAGGGTTAAGGTCAAGTCATTAAAACAGAATAATGGTTCTTGGAGATTACTAGATTTTTAATACGATATTGGAATCAAATTGTGAATATATCAAGTTTATGTGGAAACCTTTCTTGGGATTGCTTTTGGAACCACCACTAGAGTCAAAGTCAAAGAGTCAAAGCCAAGGTAACTAGAATTATAAATAAATTGATTCTGGACAATAACTAAAGTAAGAAATAAGATATTGTAATCAAACCTGGTATTTATCAAGTTAATGTTATTGTATTATAAAACAGCTTCTTATATATAAAGTTAAAGATGCAATTTTATTTGAAGGGTTGGGTAAACAGAAACAGGAAAGTTAATTTTGAAATAATTAATGATTTCAATACAGACATATTACCAACTGTCATGAGGTGTCTGGCTTTCCGAATGTTTTTATGTCTACTTGTAATTGAAATAATCTGTTGTCATAATTTAATTTCAGGATATGATCTGTTTTAGAATGGAACGTTATACCAAATGTTTTCCCCTTCTGATGGTCATGAAAAATTACTGTATTTTTTCTACAATGTATATGAGGTCATGCTAGTTTCTCAGTGGGCCTATTCTTAGAGCTGTACATTTACTAAAATTAAGACTGAGACCTGAGAAAAATGAAAGTTGTTCTAATATATTTATCATTTCTTTAAAACTGTTATTGTCCCTACTAATAATAATATTTTTGCATCGTTAAATTTTGATATTGATATCAGTATTTTATGGTTTGATAACTTGTATGTTAGAAGTGAACACAATAATAACCTTTGATTCAAGCATGATCGCTGTAGAGTAAAATCCTAAGTAAACCAAATAAAACATGATTATATTCTGTGTCACACCCATTACGTCAATATTTTATACTATCAGTATTTAGAAAAACGAATGAAGAAAAAACACAAAAAACCCACCAATTAAACTAATACAAAAAAAAATAAAAATTTTTCATAAAACAAAAAATTAATAACAAAAATAATTTAATTCATTTTGGGGCATTTAATTTTTTACATCCAAAATTAAAAGATTTAACTTTCAAGCAAAATATTTATTCCCTTTTGACATTTATACTTTCAAATCTAAAAATGTATCTGCAAGCAAAATACATTGCATTCATTTCGACATTCATACTATAAATTTTAATAAATTTAATTGCAAGAAAATCATAACATTAATATTATCAAATCTAATACACTTAACTGCAAACAAAATATATTGCATTCATTTTGACATTCAAACTATATAATCAAGCTATCAAATCTTATATATTTAACTGCAAGCACAATATATTTTACTCATTTTGACATTCATACTATCAAATATAATAAATTTAAAGGCGATAAAAGTATATTACATTCAATTTTTCGTTTTCTTATTATAATATTTTTAATTCATTTTTCTTCTTTTCTTTTGATTGTTCTAATCTTCTTTGTTTGTGCTTATCTCGGAATCAAGCTTTGAGGTGGTGGCTGATTTGTTATAAATTTCATCTTCTAAAATTTCTTATCGTTTGATGACAGATTCTAATAAATGTTCCTCCTTTTCTTCAAATTTGTCATTTATTATATCTCTGATGAATGACCTATCATCTTTTGTTAAAACGAAGTTTTTTTATCAATGTTATCTTTGTTTGTTTGTTTGTTTGGGATTTTTGTGTTCGTTTTTTTTTTTGTTGTTTCTTTCTGTTTTCTTCGACGAAACTTGGAGTAAGTTGTGTCGGTTTTTCTTTGAAGGTCTTCTGTTGTCTCATTTAAGGAGCAAAATGCATTTGTTTATTATAATACTAGAATCCATTTCCCTATAGCTTGTGGTGGTTTCCTTTTTTCGCTTCGGTGTTCCGCTTTCGTAATATTTTTGTTAGGTAATGATGAAAAGAACTTTAACTAAATTTTAGAATAATTACTGAACGGAATTGAAAGTCAATATCACTGGTCATCACCAAGGAAAGAAACGAAAGAGCAGCTCAGAAATCCGCATTTTAATTTCTTCATTTTGTGCTCCTCATCTTTCATAAACTCTTTCAAATTCCTCGGTTTTAGAAGCACGTCTTTCTTGCTTTTAGAAACATGAACAATTTTTGAGAGTTCAGCTATCACAGAGTTTACTTCTTGTGTAAGGTGTGTACTGCCATTCATAAGATCATATATTGAGCTTCGCAGATTCCTTCCCTCGCAGTCTTCAATTAGAACTCGACGCAGAGCTTCCTCCAGCGGACCTAATTCTCGTTCATCCGGTCTGTCGTTATTGTATGTCTTTAAAAGATTCATTTATATACATTGGTGAAAAAAGAAATGAATAGATACAATATAGCTTCATATTTTTTATGTGTGTTCAATAAAGCTTCATATTTTCTATATGTGTGTTGGTAATTTTGACCTAAAATTGTGTTAAGTAGTTTTGTCGTATAATTGTGTCATTTGAATAACCCAAAATCCTTTAAGCATAGCACATGGAATTTCGACATTCGAGTTAATAATATCTGCTAAATTATTAAAAGCTTTCAAGTGTGTTCATATATGTTAACTTTATTAATTTAAAATATTCTCCTTTGTGTTTATGTGTGTATATAGTAGATTTATTTACCCAAATTCTTTAAACCCAAATGTCTTTTGTCAATCAAGTACTTTTAAGTTTGGTTCAGTTGGCCTATTACCGGTCGCGTTAAAAAGATTAATTCTATAAAATGGTGCAGTGATAGAGAAGTATGAGGCATACAAACCTTAATAGAATCATAGGCACTCATGAAGAGAGCTATGAGGAGGTTGATAACAACTATTGTAAATATTGCGACATAAGCTCCGAGATAGAACCTTGAAAACCACCACACCCAGTCTCCCCCGCTTTTGTCTGACTCTATTATTGCTAAGGTAGCGTATATCTCGTCGCCGTTAACAACAGCAAACAGCGTCTCCGCGGCTGCTTCCGGAGTTTGGAACTATAAAGAGAAAAAAGCAATTTACCTCGTAATATAAATAGTCATGCGAAATTTAAGGACCTTTTTTTAATGTTGAATAAATGATTGAACCAACTAGGTACATGAAATAGCTTATTCCGAAATATAACTTAATTTACGGGTTTAAGGCTACATTCATGACAAAGTAACGATTTAAGTCGATCATTCAATTGAGACATGCTTCAAAAATGTGATCTATAAAGATTAGTATCAGCAAGGGTGTTGTGAGTTTACAAACCTTGACATGGTACGGTCCCATAACAACATACCCACAAACCCAGAACCCGACAAACAACACACCTACACAAATAAGGTATGCAATCACATCCCAAAATGCTTTGTATAGTGTACTAAATAGCAGCTGAAATAATAATGTTAAAAGCTAAATAGAAACCATTACATAATTAATCCGGTATATGACATATTTGATATAATCATTTTATAAAATCCTACCACTTGTTCTAAAATTACTTACATACTGTAAAAAAAATAAATCATTCATTTAAGGTGTTGTTGTTTTTTTTTAAGAAAGGTACCTTTTAACTAATCTTATGTTTTCAATGGGAAAAGAGATTTTATTCACCAGATTATCAATACACGTATTCCCGTTTTAGGGTTAAAGGTGCGTGTTAAATGTGACTATAAGAATATTTGCTGTGTTACAAAATTCTATTCCATGTTCATTAGCTAAATTACATATGCAGATGTTTTTAATTGTAAGAAAAATAATTCTTATACTCACATGGAATTTATTATGAAACTTGAAGAACCTAAGCAAGCTTAGCCACGCCAGTACACAACCGACTCCTAACCATACGGTGTAAGAATCTAGCAACTCGAGCTCCAATTCACTTTGCTAAAAATATTTGTTTTTCAAAGTAGGTATCAGTTTAGAATTTGCATTCTATGTCATCCTTTAAAATTATGATGTTTATATTTGTTATGTAAGTAAAATGTGTTACTTCGCATGGAATGTATGTTGTTAAAACCTATCAAGTATAATAAACGTGAAATTTCTTCTATCATTTTTACATGTAGCATAGAACATGTATTGACGTGTATACATTTAGGTACGGTGACCATTATTTTCATAATGTGTAGTATCATACTTTATTTATAAGACTACAGTGTTAATTGTATGAAATTCATATGTAAGACACTGACTTAAAAGGCTTCATTAGAAAAAATGAAAACTGTCATAAATTATGTATATTATATGTTATATTTACCCTTGTTTTAGACACTATCCAGCGTGTGCCGAATATAGTCAATATATCAGAGATAATAACGATTATATCCCAGAATTTCAAAAACCGAAAGTACTCTGACGCTGGCAGGTCCGTCTCATCTTTATCTACAACCCCGAAGTATGTCTGATAGTGATTCTTCATAAACTGTTTAGTTCTCTGAAAATAACATTCTGTTTACAAACGTTTGCTAGATTACAATCATATTCACCAATAGTTCGTAAGAATTCACAAAACTTAAGCTTTCTCACTATGTATCCAATAAATTCAGACTTTAAATTATTTGAATTTTATTACTCAAGGTCATACTGATATTTATTACATCGGGTGGGTCACGGAAAGTGATCACTTTTATCGGACATAAATGAACAAATGACAAATTAACTACGTATAAAACGTTTCAGGTATGATTCGTTTATTGACAATTTATCCTAACAAGAACGTTTCAAAGCAGTATGATAACAAGCTTAGCCATCTTGTCAAACTATTCCAATCTAAAAAGGGTATATATACACGGTTAACAATAACATGAAATATAGAATTCGTCTCATTAGTAAACACAATCATTAATACACACTGTTTTTTACACATTTATCAGCTATCGTAATTGATATTGTAAAGGATTGGCGTAGATACAATGATACAAAGTTCAAGCGTGATAATAATGACTTTGGTAGTAAGTACCGACATACCCAGAAAGCATAAGCAGCAAAAACCATAGTGGTAGTCGTCAATACTAATGATAAAACACATAAAGCAATCACTGAGGCCCCGATGTCTTCTGAGGTGTTTTCTAGTTGCCAGTCTGTAATTGGAAAATCAAAATTTGATATCTAGAAATATAAGACATTTTTCTACTATCATCGATTTACAGAAAGTCTTGAAAAACGAGCACAAAACGGATATTCCGTGAGAATCATCCGGAGCATTTGGTGTCAAAGTGTTTGTTAAATCATTATCATTCTGTGGTATTCTAAAAATATATGGAAGTTTTTTACATAAAATATGAACAATTTTAGAGTGCTTAAATTGAAATGCTTATCTACTAAAAAAACATTTTTTAATTGAACTGAATATACTCCTAGGTGAACAAAGGTCAAAATTATGAACCACAAACAATAATATAAAGAAACCAACACAACTAAAAGCTAAAACGCAAACATTATGCATAGTTAAATTTCCTATAAAATAAATGAAATATTCACATATTGAATTTATTACTAACCTGACAAAGGTAGATTCATGTCTTTACACTTTATTCTACTAGATCTTGTATCAAGGTCAACCAACACTTGACCACTATTGTCCAGATCAACAAATTCCACCTGTAAAAGTTAAATCTTCAAAATCACTTTCCTGAACCTTGATTTCAGACCCTTATCTTTTTTAAAATCGCTTTAATTTGCTAATGTTGTTTGCTTGTGGAAATATATGAGCAGGATCTATTTCCTACGTCATGTGCTTTGGCTTATAGATATTATTATTTTGTCACAGGCTTGCTTTTTTACTTTATATAGGCAATAGACGGAGTAACTAAAACTAAATATGTACTTTATACTAAGAACATAGCACGGAAGCACTTGTATAATACAAAATAATAATTGGTTTTCAATTTGTCAACTGCACAAAACGAAAAGAAAATGTTGTTAAATCTTGGAAGTACTTTGGATAAACACATTAAGAAATTTTGAAACATATATTTGGCATTTACTTTCATATAAGTGTTTCAGATTTATTTGTAAGAAAGAGAAAATACACTCACCGAGCCCTCTACTCGTAGACATGTTGCTTTCCTACTGCTTTCGTGTGAACGTACGGAATGAAGCTTAAAGCGAAGTGTTGTTGACAACATCCTAACAAAGATATATCACTAATATCATTAAACAAATGTAAAAGTCTAGTCATCGAATATGGACCGTTTCCTCTGTTGCATTAAAGATTGTTGTTTCAACAAATCAGGTTTGGGAGTTATGTGAAAACTTTGCAGCATCTCAAGATAATGTTATGCAACACTTAGCGCAAGGATTATACAAGTAATGCTTCTTTATCATTGTTATATGGCTCTATTTGTTAATTGGCGGGGTATAATTTTCATCTCTCCAAGTGTTATTTGTGGTAGGTTACTTACTACATATAATGCAAAAAAAAACATTTACTTCTTCAAAAGTATTATGAGATTTATAAAAAGTAATGAATGGAGTCTGTGAAAACAGTTATCTTGAGACTTAATATTTATGATAACAAACCTTTTAATTGGTTGCGTCACATTGTGATGATCAAATTCACGGGTAATATTATAATTGTACACTGTCTCATTGGCTTGCGTTACTTCTGCAGACAGTCCTTTGTCAACTGGAAACGTTATCTCTGCAATGCATTACAAAGAACGTGCATATATATTTCATGATAAAAATGGAGTCCAAATATAACTAAATAAACTATATATAGACTCGTATATCAAAACTGGCGGGAAAACATTTGTTCTGATTTTGCATTGAATAAGTATAGTTTACCAGATATGGTTATTCCTTCTCCAATACTCCTACCATGAAAACCGGGAAAGTCAAAATATTTCGTTGTTGCTGTCATTTTGTCGTCTGCTGTTCGAACATAGTAACCAATGGCTTCTCTTTCTGCGTTATAATACTACAATAATTTAAATAGGAAGTTATACAGTATGTGTTTTATTTTTCAAAATAGACGGAATTATGTAATATTATACGTTTTGGCAATTTCAGTATTCTTTCTTCCGGATATATTTCGAATCATTCAAATATAATAATTCGATAGTCAATAATGTCGATATTGAATATTTATATCCGAAAATCAACTAAGAAATTATATTTTATTAGACTTTTACATGTGCCTTTTGCAATACAATAAAATGCATTATTACTTGCATGATTGATAAAAACATTTTTTGCACATTACTGCTTGCTACGAAAAACAGGAATTTCATCATAAATACATATGTCATTACGTTTTATTTTCATATATTTTGACAATTACCATACTCAATTACCAGTATCGTTATTTTTTTTATTTTTTTAGAGTTGTTTTAAAATGCCGAAACAATCGTTTTTAGCAAAACACTCTTGTTCGATTAGTGAATCAAAAATCGATCAGTTAATGAGAAAACAAAAATATACATGTACATTGTATTGCTGAAGTGTCACATATTTATTTCATACATTATTTTGATCTATGTCAAGTAATTTGAACAGCTTGCGTCTTAACTGGGTTCATATCAATATTCTCTCATATTCAGTTTCGGGATTATCAATTCAAGGAAGTAAATACTATGTAATGAGTGTGTTTGTTATTCAATTTTGTTGTTCTTTTAATCCAAGGCTCAAAAAGAAGTCGTCCTCATCACAAATAGTACTTCCGTATCTCAGATTCCATTTAAAGTTGTGTAACAAATGGTACTTTTTTATTCATAATGATACCAGTTTTAATACACATAACGAAGCGGAAAACAACATGTACAGGAATTTTACTGGCCGATTCGAATATCTTTATTCCGAGACGCATGCTTCTTTTGGAAGTTTTCATTATCAGTTTTTATGATATCAAAATAAAGGAGTTGATCAACAAACAGTGAAAAGCCTGGTCAGACCTGCGTACTGGACTGCTCTATACTGGTGGTAAAAGTTTTATCACTTAAGGTTCAAGCAGGGCATACATAAAAGTAACTGTACTTACGTTTTTAACAGCGTAGTTAATACCTCTCTCGAGATCATCTATCGTATACACGGCAAAGTCTCCTTGTGCAGGAGGATATGGCAGCGTTTCCCAGCCTGTAAAATAAATTTGACAATGGTATTATGATCCCTTTTGTAGTGAGACTGTACTAAATAAAATAATTGCCCGAATACCTTATTATTATTATTATTATGATATCTCCTTAAAATATTGAATTTAAATCGATGGAATTATATCGGGAATTTAGTAATTCTAGTAGTTGCGCATGCGCACAAAACAACAATATGAATCAAGAAAATGCCTTACTGGCATCCCAGTTTTCTAAAAGAAGATGTCGAAGAACAAGATCGCCTCTGTTAACAACTGAACTAAAGTTTCCTCGGTCATTTCCAAAATGGATCATCTGGAATGTAAAGGGTAGAGCAAAAATTGTCAAAATTTACATCAAAACCAAGTAACAATAGCACAGTGGGCCTAAATAGTTAACTGCTTATGGCTGCTAAAACCTTATAGTTGATATAAGCTTAATTTCTTCCAGAAACTTTGTAATGTTTCATGCATTTGGTAATTTAGATAGATATAAGTCATATAACCGGTGACTTAACTTAGGTGCTTGCTGAAGCATGAACAATCCATTCAAATTATCTCATTTTTAATCTTTAAAAAAGAAGTAAGATTGATCAAATTATTCCAGATGCTTATTTCCATTATCAACTTAATAAAACCTTTTTCTTGTATACAAAGAATCATAAACAAACAACGATGATAAAACGAAATAGATGAATGATTTAAAATGGTTAAGTATCAAACCTGACTTGTAAGTAGAGCTACTTTTATGATTTGTACCAAGAAGACGAAACAGTAAATTCGATGGAAGTTCCATGTGTTCCCCTTTAATTTGAATGCCGAATAGAAGTTAAGCCTCAACAGCTTACGAAGATAATTTGCTTCATTCGTGTAATCAGTGGTTTCGTTACTATCCCTTTTGTTATTCTTATCTGTAAACAAACATGCAAAGTAAGCGTTTAGAGTTAGCCTTCTTGTTGATTTTAGAGCGGTAACTCATTGTAGAGATAGTTATAGCAAATCGTGTTTTATTTATATGTTTTTTGGTTAATAATTAACTCATACACAATCCTTTCCAAGTACTTTAATTCAGACCAAAGTATATATTTATCTAACCAAACTTGTCGTTTCTTTTGAGAAGATCAGCAAGGGCGACAAGTCGTGAAAGATACAGTATATGTACAGGAGCTGTCGGTTAGACTGCACGCCTGACTATTCTTAGTACTTGATAGTATAAGCGCGTTGATCATGTAACACTTTCTAAGGGCCATTTTTCCAATCCTTGTTACAGTTATAATTCTTAGAGAGTGTCCTATTAACTTCTAAAGAAGTGCAATGTCAAAGGAATAATAAAATATTTGAGTTGGTATACACATTTTAACATAATTCCAAGTCAAAAAGGAATAATTCTCTCCAAATCTTGATAAGTGACCTCCTGAGTGCAGATTGGGGGCATGATCAATTGTGCAAAGATTCAAAGCCAGATGGCAATGCAATGGAATTTGAAAATATTCAAATGTTCGAGGTAGTGCGCAAACTTTAGCATAAGTTTTTAGTCGAAAAGGGTGGTATAATTCTGTCAAAATGCTTAGGCAGCACACCACACTAAATGAAGCCACAGCTTCGAATGGCCAGGGTATAGTGACTAGTGTGGATTTAAATGACTGGTTGTCTTTAAAATGCATTTTCAGCTTGAAATTTGTTTTTGTAACATGTAATATGATCATTGGCAAATTCGAAAACATGGTTAGAAATAACATGCTGTTTATTATAGATGTCAAGGCCGCCATTGTTTGTAAACATTGCTTTTAAACAGCATGCTCGGTGAAAACAAGTGATTTTACAGGGGGGGTACAAACTTTCAGCAATAGCAAAAAATCTACAAGGCCAAACACCTATTTCTTTGTGATAGTTTTCATGCATAGGGAGTTGCTAAAGCAGTAACAGAGTTTCTGTAGTCCGTATATTTGCAGGTATTTTTTGCCGGAGGGACGAAAAATATTGTTTTGGGTCTCGGACCACTATAGATTTTTGGCTTTTACGGAATGAATTGGAATTTTTTTAACTGCCTGACTGTTGCACATGGGATGATTTCATTACAGATTTACAATGTTATGACATATATGTTCTTAACAAAATGTGTTTTCTTTTTCCAGGTTGTGTAGTTTGGGATCAGATTTATTAGACATATTGCTTGTTGGACATTGACGGCAGAAACATGAAATTTAGTGTGGAGTGCTACCTTAACATTCGGTATCTGCAGGCAGATGTGTTCCTCTTACGTTGATAATTTGAAAAGCATTTTCGTTCTATTAAGCATTTAAGACGGCTGTATTATAAAAAAGAAACATTTATTGAATTCGTTTTACACTTTGCTATAATATTGCTGCTCATCTTCACTTTAAACTAACATTATTCAGTCACATTACAATACTGTGATAAAGCACATTTTTGTATAAACATCCGAGGGCTTCTACTAATTATGTTAATGCACGAAAGTAGGCGAATTTGCGATGTCTGGTTCGGTAATTCTGCATTTCATTATTGTCTTTTGGTGTAAAGAAACTGTTTTCGGCGTGCTTTTAATTTGCAAGTGTGATGTCATTTGATAAATAAGGAAGGAGCAGTATTTGCTGTCAGCTATTTTTACATGTCGCTCTGAGTCAATGCACTTGCAAGTGTTTACCTGCATATGGAACGCCGTGACTGTCTTATGTAATCAATGGTTTTGTTATCTTGTGAAACGATGACATTATTTTGTCGTTTGAGCATGTTAACATGTGCAATTTACATCATGTCTTGTCAAAGGAACATGCTGACTTGTACAAACAGCATGTTAACTTGTCAAATTATTTTGATGACATGTGCAGACAACATGTTAACTTGTCAAAGTATAATGATGACTTGTGCAAATGCCATGGTAACTTGTCAAAATGTAATGATGACTTGTGCAAACGATATGTTAACTTGTCGAATTATTGTGATGACATGTGCAAACAGCATGTTAACTTGGCAAAGTGTCGTGGTGACTTGTGCAAACGTCATGTTAACTTGTCAAAGTATAATGATGACTTGTGCAAACGACATGTTAACTTGTCGAATAATCGTAATGACATGTGCAAAAAGCATGTTAACTTGTCAAATTACCATGATGACTTATGAAAACAACATGTGAACGTGTCAAAGAATCGTGATGACTTGTGCAAATGACTTGTTATCTTGTATCATGCTGACATGTCAAAACGTACTGTTAACTTGTCAAATTATTATGATACTTTGTGCAAATGCCATGTTAACATGTCGAATTATCGTTGTGACAAGTGCATACAGCATGTTAACTTGTCAAAGTAACATGATGACTTGTGCAAAAGACATGTTAACTTGTCCAAGTATAATGATGACTTGTGCAAATGCCAAAATTTCATGATGACATGTGCAAACAGTATGTTACTTTGTCAAATCATCGTGATAACATGTGCAAACAACATGCTAACTTGTCCAAGTATCATGGTGACTTGTGAAAGCGACATGTTATCTTGTCAGAATTTCATGATGACATGTGCAAACAGCATGTTTACTTGTCAAGGTATCGTTATGACTTGTGCAAACTCCATTCTAACTTGTCAATTAATCATGATGACTTGTGCAAATGCCATGTTAACTTGTCAAATTATCATTATGACTTGTGCAGACAACATGTTTACATGTCAACGTATCATGATGACTTGTGCAAACAACATGTTAATTTGTCAAAGAGTCGTGATGACTTGTGCAAAACACATCTTAACTTGTTAAGGTATTATGAGCATGTCATCACGATAATTTGACAAGTTAACATGCTGTTTGCACATGTCATCATGAAATTTTGACAAGTTAACATGTCGTTTGCACAAGACATCATGATATTTTAACAAGTTAACATGTCGTTTGAACAAGTCAGCATTGTCTATAGACAAGATATGATGTACATTGCACATGTTAATATGCTTAAATGACAAAATAATATCATCATTTCAAAAGATAGCAAAAATATTGATAGCATAAGACAGTCACGGCGTTCCATACCTGCATATGGATAATTTATGCAAGAATGAACGTTGATCATCACTGCAAAAATGATATCAATATATGCCATATGTCTATGCATTTACATTTATTTGCATTTATGTTTTTGCATTGCATTATATGATCTAATTTTTTGGTTTTCAGAAGAAACTTTCCGTTAATTTCTAATTCCATACTTTCTCACTAGGGTTATATTACATTACAATGAAATATCATCTCTAATAATTTAAAGTTTCAATTTCAGTTCTATATAAAAAAAGCTATTTTAACCACATCCAAGTTAGTGCTAAAAATATCATTTTTTTTTTTTTTTTTTGGTTAAAGTAACATGGGTAAAAAATATAGGGTAGGTAGGTCGTCATTTTTTAAATATACTTTTTCCACCGATATATACTGAAGCATGTCATCAGAACATTACAAACAAACATGCATGTACCATCATATTCATAATTATGTGATATACACATCTGGGTATGAAATCGCTTTAAATATATTGTTCACATTTGAATACTGTTGCTTTATTTATATGGCAGTACAATGCACTAACATATTATTAAATGACGGGAGCAATTTTCCAAAAAGACTTTAAGAATGTGGAATATGTTTCAAGAAATTAAAACACTTGTTTAACTTCTGTTTCCAAATATCAGAAGATGGATTCAATACTTGTTGTAACACCCTACGATGAAACCACAATACTAAAATCTTTCAAATGTTGTTGGCATATTTGAATACACTTAAAGAGTTGCCATCATTGTACAGCCTGATCAGTCTGTATATCATTTCAGGCTGATCAAGGTCTTTACCGTATCTGCTCAAATTTACATATGAGCCGTGTCACGACAAAACCAACGTAATGCGTTTGCGGCCAGCATCCGCGCAGTCTGATCAGGACCCATGCTGTTCGCTTACAAACCCTATTGCAAGTAGAGAAACTGATAGCGAACAGCATGGAGGCGCAGGCTGGTCTGGATCCATGCTTGTCGCAAACCCACTATATGTTGGTTTTATCGTTAGGCGGCTCATATTAACCCTGAAATTCATGAAATTGACTGTTGGACAGGTTCATCAGATAAGTGAAAAATGTGTGCGTCTAAAACCAAGTTTTTTTTAACTTTTAATTTTTAACTATACCTAATAAATAAGTAATATGTTTTTCACATTTTTTTTTTCACATTCACATTTTTTAAAAAAAAAAACAATTACACCTTTTTTCGCCATTTCGCGTTTGACACATTAAACGTGTGACTAAAACTTTTGCCGACACACTTTTGTAAAATTACATATATATTAACATGATAACTAGACTGACCGGAAAAAATTATTTCGCAAAATGTATGTCCCTATTTGAAATGAATAGCCGCTTCTATGTTTTTTTCTCTCTTTTTTTAATCGGCAATTAACAACACCCGTTAACTTCCAAAACCTGCTTATTTGTATCGCCGCTTTTGTTTGGTTTTCAAATTTTACCGATTCAACGGACTTTTTTTACATTTTTCGAAACAGGCTTGAGAAATTATTGCACGTGTTTATCCAAATAAGGGCGACTTTGTTTCGCTTTTTTTTTCAGAAAACTGGGCACTTTCGCCTAAGACGCTCTGAGCCATACAAAAAAAAAATCGGCCTGCTTTTGCCAAAAATGTTTAGGGTCGACGACAAAAAAATAGGGACACCAGAAAAAATTCAAGATAAAGAATTATTGATGGATGTAGTACCTAACCGAATATGTAGCAATAAAATGTTATCACTGAACTCATTTCTTTCTGAATACAATGAAATCTTTATGATGTTAAAACGTGACAGGAATACTTACTTTAAATAAGTTCAATAAAGAAGAGTGAATATTTTACAAACTGGAACAAATTAGAGTAGACGATCGTCAGACCATTGTTGTTCATCCTTGCCAGAC